CTCAACCACCTCCCTGGGCAGCCCATTCCAATGCCTGAGAACCCTTTCAGTGAAAAAATTTTTCCTAATATCCAGCCTGAACCTCCCCTGGCGCAACTTGAGGCCATTTCCTCTCGTCCTGTCGCCTGTGACTTGAGAAAAGAGACCGACCCCCACCTCTCTACACCCTCCTTTCAGGGAGTTGTAGAGAGCAATAAGGTCTCCCCTCAGCCTCCTCTTCTCCAGGCTGAATAACCCCAGCTCCCTCAGCCTCTCCTCATAAGACTTATTCTCCAGACCCCTCACCAGCTTTGTCACCCTTTGTTCTCCCTCTTTGAGAAGAGTCAAATCAATCTCGACTGTTTATCTACTTGAACGCTAAACTATCTACAGCTCATCAAAGGAAAATAACTGCCTGTCCTGAGATTTTAGTCATGCTTCATATTTCTGTAAAGCAATTTAATGTCTAACAGGTGATGTGGTTACAATAAAATCTAACTCTTCAAGCTGCAAAGCCCTGCTAAGTGGTCAACAACTTGTCCAAGAACCATACTGCTTGTAAAATAGCTTAGTTTGAAAAGTCTGACTAGTAGGCACTACAATAAAATGCCCAATTCCCAAGCTTGGTAATGGTGACTGACCCACAAAACTGTGGGATCCACTCACTGGTATTAAGCCAAGGTTACAAGCATGAATACATCAAATTGAAACCTGCAACTGTTTCACTGTGATTCCTCTCCCTTGGAAAGGAGGGCAGGACAAAAATGATCCACTTTAGAAAATTTACCTTTCTGATTCTTGCCACTCTCCCTTGGAAAGGAGGGCAGGACAAAAATTATTATGCTACAGCTTTAATCCACTTTAGAAACTTTACCTTTCTGATTCTTGCCATGGCTTATCCGATTCATAGTCTTTGCCCAACTTCTCCGACTTGTCTTCTTTGTCTTCTCTCTTTCTACCTCGTTTCTTGCGCTCCTCTTCTTCTGGGGGTTTGCTTCTGCAAGCCATCAAACATTCCAAGACTCGCTGGTGTTTATCAGAGTTGTTTATGTGTGCTCGTACAAGGGTCTCCAGTTCATTCCACATAATCCGATACTGTTCATCTCTAAGAAAGGTCAGAAAGGACATATTACATATAGGATTACCTAGATCATTAAACCACTGAATAAATTAAGGTTAAAAAACAGACCTTAAGAAACAGAAAAACAAACGACCCAACCCCCAAAATAATCCTGAACAGATTCTCTGTCCTCTTGTACTGGAAATCTATCCACCTGGGATTACTCCATCCTTTCAACTTGAGAACACATTGTAAGTAACATTTCCCAATTGACACCCAGAGTTAAGTTTAAATTGAAACAGGCTACGTCCACTGAAATCAAATTCTTCACTGCCACAAGATCTCACTGCCAAGAGAGACTTTTGAATCCTCTCAGGTGTTTGTTAACTATGCAACGTCAGGCTATGCAGAGAGCCACTCATGTACTCACGTACAAATTAATTACGTTTGTTAACTATGCAACGTCAGGCTATGCAGAGAGCCACTCATGTACTCACATACAAATTAATTACAAATTAATTTCATCCTTTGAATAAAAAAAAAATTTAGAAAGAGTTGTACCATGCTACTGTAAATAACTCCCAGTCATGTGGGCAAATCTTCTGTAGCTGAATTTCTTTTCAGCCAGTTCTTGGAAATACTATGCACACATCACAATGACTGAGATACCAGGATATTCTATGCTTGTTTTAAAGCAGTAGCCCATATTTTAAATAAATGCTTCAAAAGGATTTGACTATTCTAATATAACCCAATTTTAAGCATTATTCATTTATAATTTATAATTCATTTTATTAATATGAAGTTATTCCACTCTCACTGTCCTAGCTCATACCAGTCTCTTACCTCTCTTGATGCTGCCATATTTTTTAAACAGACTCACAATTCTTATGTAATAAAATGATACACTTTTTCCTACCATACAGCAATATCAGTCCTGTGATAGCCCTTAAATGACGCAGGCAAAGTATTCACAGCATTTGCTTTGTGTACACACAGCATTTAGTTTACTACATATTACATTTGGCCAAATTTTAAAAATTTGAAAACATGAAAACAGTGTCAAGAGAGTATTTCTGAAAAAAGTCCAGCATCAACAAAAAGAGATATCCATGTAACCTTTTTGGACCCTTTCCTCTGGTGCCAACTGTTGAAATTGGCAGCGGATCATTTTTCCTCTCCATGTCTACCAAATTGTATATTGTTTTTTGACAATTCAGAACATCCTCATCAGTCATTGCTTCTTTTACAATCACACTGGCTAATGGCACTACCTGCAAGACAAAACAAAAGTCAACAACGAGAAATTCTGTGTATGTCACAGGAGAGAAATAGGAAGAAGAAAGATATTAAAGGCAAGGGAACCATGGAACAACATGTAACAAAACCACCCCCTCTGATCCTGTGTATGTCACAGGAGAGAAATAGGAAGAAAGATATTAAAGGCAAGGGAACCACGGAACAACATGTAACAAAAACAGCCCCTCTGATCTTCAAGTTAGTAAATAATAACTCTGATCAGGTATAAGCAAATGCACATTTCCTTTACCCAGCATCACTGTAGCTGTCAGGTTAAATATTCCACCCTATTTAGATGGGATTCCACTAATATATTGACATTAAATCATTAAATGGTTAGAGTTGGAAGGGCCCTTAGAGATCATTGAGTTCCAACCCTCCTGCCCTGGGCAGGGACACCTCCCACCAGACCAGGTTGCTCCAAGCCCCATCCAGCCTGGCCTTGAACCCCTCCAGGGATGGGGCAGCCACAGCTTCTCTGGGCAACCTGTTCCAGTGTCTCACCACCCTCACAGGAAAGAATTTCTTCCTAGTATCTGATCTAAACTTCCCCTCTTCCAATTTAAAACCATTACCCCTTGTCCTAGCACTACATTTGCTGATAAAGAGTCCCTCCTCATCTTCCCTGTAGGCCCCCTTCAGGTACTGGAAGGCCATTATAAGGTCTCCCCGGAGCCTTCTCTTCTCCTGTGAGGACAGAAAGTTGGGGTTGTTGAGCCTGGAGAGGTGCTCCAGCTCTCTGATCATTTTTGTGGCCATCCACTGGACCCATTCCAACAGAGTACTTGAGATGAAAACAAACTGGGTTTGTGGCAAGCGATTTACGATAAAATAGAGTTAATATTTCATGAAGTGGCAAGGTGAAAGTTAACCTAGAACAGAATAAAAGGTTACAAACCCCAGGTTACTTACAGCTTGCATGTTGAAGATGGTAGTCTGAGAAATAATCATAGGCCAGTAACGAGTATGTTTCTCTAACTGATCTTTTGCACGTTCCAGTGGAATTTCAAGACTTCCATCGATCTTATATCTGGGCTCTAGAAAAGGAGTTAATCGGTTTTCCCTCATAAATTCACCAAAATCCTAATGATAACCAAACAAGATACAATTAGACATTTCTCTAACAAAATAATTTTCACTGAACGGATGAAACAGCATAGTCTTGCTTATCACTAACCATGTATTATCCCCACCACTAAATTTGACCCTAGCAACAAGAGCCCCGCTTCTATCTTGTGGATGTACATTATTCAGCGTGAACACAAAAAATAGGTATATAAAAACATGGATTAAAAACTGATGCAAGGTTTTTGATGAGGAGGCCTTCTGGATCTGCAAGATATTTCATGTATGGTGACAGTTTTGTTATGTTTTTCTGGAAGCCACTTCTGCTTGCTTACAAGATACAAAAGAGGTGTTGAAAAAATAAAGGAAAAATCCCCAAACGAATGCTACCTGATCCTCTACTCCATATCCAGGGTTCAAAGCTGACAACTTCATCTTTTCTATTTATTGTACAAATCATTCACGTGCAATCTACCCTTCTGACAATTAGCAGGATATAGTCTTACGTGTATCCAGCCCACAGAAAAAAAAACTTGCCAAGAAAAACGTTATTTTAGAATCAGAACAAACTGTAAATACTCATAGTGCACAAGGAGGCATGGAATCCCTTGTGGGAATTGCCTTGCCTTGACATGGAAAGGATTCCATGAAGCAGGTATAATAAGCAGATACTTTGAACTAAATACGTAGCAGTAGTAGAAAGAAAAACAGTTTGACCATGCAATCCACTGCAGCTCTCCAGAAAACAGGCCAACATTTCCTTTAAATGCCTAATGCACTACATCTCTTGGCGCCTGAGATAAGCAACAACTTAAGAAAAAATTATCAGAAAGAAAAGAATCTTACTGTAATCCTGTAGTCGGTTACTCTTCCACCACACCCTTCACTAATTGATGGCGGATCTTCTAGAATTGATCGGGAGCTGCTTAATACATGCAGAAAAATTTCTCCTCCATGGCTACTGAGCATGTGACTAATTACTTTAGAGCCAGATTTGCGTGGCTGTTCCAACAAAACAGAACGACCTGTTGCAAATAAGATCAGTTTCACTAGTTACTGCGTGCTGGGATTTTAAATTACAAACTACACATACACAACACGGGTTTGAACGTAGCCAGTAAGACTCTGAATCCATTAACGTGAACGTAGCCAGTAAGACTCTGAATCCATTAATATTGCGTTTTCATAGAATCACAGAATCATTTAGGTTGGAAGAGACCCTTGGGATCATCGAGTCCAACCATCTCCCCTACTCTACAAAGTCCTCCCCTACACCATGTCCCTCAGCACTGCATCTAAACGGCCCTTAAACACAGCCAGGGATGGTGACTCCACCCCCTCCCTGGGCAGCCTGTTCCAATGCCCGACCACTCTTTCGGTGAAAAATTCTTTCCTAATGTTCAATCTAAACCTACCCTGTTGGAGCTTGAAGCCGTTCCCTCTCGTTCTGTCGTTAATTACCTGTGAGAAGAGACCAGCACCAACCTCTCTACAAGGTCCTTTCAAATAGAATCATAGAACCATAGAATCATTGAGGTTGGAAGAGACCCTTGGGATCATCAAGTCCAACCATCTCCCCTACTCTACAAAGTCCTCCCCTACACCATATCCCTCAGTATCGCATCTAAACGGCCCTTAAACACACTTTACTCCACATCTTTACACAGAATGGCTTCACGTTGTCTTAAATTTGACACAGAAAGATCAAAAAGCCTCTCTCCACGACCAATAAATCACTGACTCTGTAGGGCGTTATTCTTAGCAAAAATACATATTGGTAAGGCATTAAAATGGCATATAGTATAAGGGCAGCTTGCTGTTTTGAGTTATATGTTTTATACTAAACTTCTTTGGCCCTACTGCAGAAACTCTCCTTAAAACCAACTTCTAAAAAGTAACCAAATAACCTACTTGAATATAAAGGTACCAATCAATACTATTGGTTAATGCTTAAAATGCATACCATTTTCAGACAGAGAAATAAAACTGCTTTTGTCTTATTTCCAGTAAAATACACTAAGCAGTCTCCAAATAAGTTGTTATGAGGAAGTGAAAATAGAAGATCAGAAGAGAGTAGTTATCTGAAATATGCTATTAATTTTTGTTCTAACCATTTCTATTACCAAAGTACTTTTTCAGTACAGAATAGAGGAAAATACACAAAAATATAGTGTTTAATAAAACCACAGCACATTTACTTAGACATTCAAACAACTTGACTGAAGAAAACATCCCATCAAAAGATGTTTGTAATGTAATGCAGTTTTGTTTGCAAACTGTAAAAAAACCTCACATGTAATTAACATTGACTACATGTTACTTGTTTGGAACAAACAGCTTTGGGTTACCTTCTAACATGCATTTAAATGGCAACCTCTTACTGCAAGATTATTCACAGCAACATCTTGCAGATAAGCAAAAATCTAATCTGCTTTTTGACCAATGCCAGTAGATACTCCGCTTCAATTGACCAACATACTTAGTTGGCCTTAACCCAATTAAAAGAACTTTCTGAGGCTGCCCAACATCTGCTAAAAGTCAGGCATAGACATAAGTTGCTAATATTTTGCAGCAGTTGGAGGAAGCATTGGGATCAAGTGCACTATCACCTACTGAAAGCAGTGTTTCCTAGCAAATACCATAAAGTGAAAAGTATTCTACATTTGGATTCAGAAAGAACTACCAGCCTTCAATACTTCCTCGTTCTTTACATCTTTCCTCCCATCTTCAAGTTTCAAAACACATTCCCTTTGCCTTTGAGTACATTTAACAAATTTCTTCTCTTATTAATGACATGTTAAAATAAACTTGACATTTTTACAGTGTATAGACATTTACTGCTATACAAACCAGAATGTGCTAAGTGCTCGATTCACAATATTAACAACTAAAACAGAAATAATGAGCCAAGGACACAAATTTACCATTAAGGAGAAAGTTAGTAAGGCATGAAGAAGGTCTACTATTTACATCTACTGGTGAAATTCTGTAGGCTCCAGTGCAATAGTGTAATTCTGAAAAATAAAACGCATAGAAACATTGAGAGTGTAGTTCCACATGCAGAAAAAACATTCCACAAAATAAAAGAAAGGCAGAGGAAGCTATTCCACAATCAGAAGAACTAAGAAGTCTAGCTGTCTCTCAAAGTCTGCTCCTTTCACCATCTCCTCACAATCATTCCAGTACCCTCAACTCTGAGAGCCTAATATATTCCCAAGCCTTATTTCAAGCAGAGCCTCCAGTTCTTTATCTCCTGAATTATTTTACCGTGGAGTCAGCCTCCTCTTATTTCTCTTATCTATATTTTTGACTTGCTCAGAGTCAACGTACTTTCAGGAAAGTCTACAGGCTGCATGAGCTGATTGTTCCTGTGTTACCCCAAATCCTCCCTGACTTCCTCTCCTTTACTCACATTTGGGTAGAGAGCTCTCCCTTACTCAGATTTGAAAGTTAATATGGAGGGACTAGTCTACTGATAACATCATCACGTACAGTTAGTTTCCTTACTAAGCTTTTCACTTAGCACTCTAAAGATTACACTAAAGATAGTACTTTGATCTCTGCCCCTCCTGAAACAAAAATTAAAACCAAAAAAGATTCAATGTCTCAAAGCTGCTATGTTAAAAAAAAAAAAAATCACTTTGGAACTGACAAGGTACACTTGGCCCTGTGGGAGTGACAAATAGTCCCTGAACATTACAGTCAAGGAACAACTCCACAATACTTAAAGAGAAGATTGAAAAAGTCACTAGGAAAAAAAAAAAACAAACCACACATTACTACCCCTCCCACCTCTTACACAAACCACTGATTAGCCAAGATCAGGACAGCATCATATGACCATTAGTAAAGCAGGGTGTAGTCAGCAGCAAGGTTTACAAGGTAAAAAGGTAAAGACAGCATTAACAAGCAGCATATTACCCCCTCGTTCAGATTCTTATCACTGTACGGAGAGAACAGTGTTCAACACAAGTTAGAATATCAATTTTGTAAAATACCATGTTACCTACCCACACTATTTGTTCGAGGAGTACACCATTTTAATGTTACAGTTTCTTTAAATGTGCCTTCTCTGCTATTGCCACCTACATGATTATCACCTGCAATATAAAGTCAGAAAAAGCATGTGAGCAAAAAAGCTCTACTGGTCTCTCATCTACTTTTTATATTTCAATAAAGTGGTGACATGCCTCAAGTGTCTCACACAAACATCCCCAACACACATGAAACCTTGTCTGATGAATCTGACCTCGTTTTATGCTGCTATATCCTTATCACTATATCAAAATATGCCAGTCATGAATAAAAACTCCAATGGCAACATTACAAACCAAGTTCTTGGGTTTTAAGGAATAACTGAAAATTTGCTAATCATAGCGGAAAGCATATTTTTCAGGCATATTTCATCAATATGAAGCTTGGAATCTTTCTTTGTGAGTGCTTCCAGCAGGCTGATCAAAAGCAACTTTGAGAGGACTATTTCTACTTACCACTCTTTAAAAAGTCAACATGTGCCTCTTTGTGATGAAGCAGCTCCACATCGTAGTTGGCTGATGTGTTAGCATGTTGTTCTTCCTTTAAAAGAGAAAGGCAGAAAGAATATATAATTATTTTAGCTATAAGGCTCTCTTTTCATAAACAAATGATTCTACATTTACCTTTCACTCCAGAAGAAAACAAAAAACCTCCAAAGTGCATCAGACAACAACAGGATTGCAATGTTGAGGAACTGTTTGCTCTCTGGCCTGTTTAAAGATGCAGTCATCTGCTTTTCCCTTTTTTCCTTTTTTTGAAACCCTATGGTTTCCTCTTCATACAAGTGTCATAACAAGGTGCATAGTGTAAAATATAGGTAAAAAATAGGCTTCTACTTTTCTTTAAATTATTGAGAATCAAGGAGCCTACGATATATTGAACGCTACGAGCAGTTACAACTTACTGAGCAGCAACAAATGGTCACCGCAGAATAGACTGGCAATTACTTTTTCTAACTAAAAATCTCAGGAATCCATTAATTATATCTTAATTTCATTTAAGACATATAGCAAGTGTACTTGCAGCTGCAAGTTTATAATTTAAGAAGTTATGTTTGTGAAGAGGCCACTGCATCTTTGAACAGCTGCAGAGGACTAGCAAAAACAGAACAGTAACCTTGGTAATTTATCCCAAGTTAAAAAAAAACAACAAAAAACCAAAAAAACCACAGAGAACCCAACATAATCTATTACTATAAGGACAAAGGCAGAAGGGAGAGGCATACCAGCAGCACACAGGTCAGAAAGTTACAGACAAGGTATTTGCAAACTTAAGTCACATTTATGCCACAACCCATGTCATAATTTCATTAAGGCTGTGAAAATAATTTTTAATTTCATGTTCCAACTTATAAAATCCATACAATATTGCTAGTTTTCAAAGATGCAAGTAATGATTGACAATATTAGAAATTGATGATATTTTTAAAATCAGGAAAGTTTATCTGCCCCTGCCCTTTTTATTTGTTTGAATACTGACACTTCCATTTCGATTGTTCTTTCTTGCTGTCTGATCAAAAAATTAAATAAAATTTAATACTTGAAATTCTTAGTTGCACTTATTTCCCTCCCAGTAGTGATAACAAAAATATATTAAAAAAAGGGCCATAAGCAACTTTGAAAAGAAGATGTTTAATTCAATATCTTTCTTAGATACTAGATATATCCCTTTGTCCCCCATTTCTGGTTTATGGATCTTCAAAGGAAAACCTACTGGAAAACCTTCTGTCAAAAATCAGCTATTAGTTACAAACACCTTTATGTTGGGTGGGCATGATAATGAAACAGGAAAAAGAGACTCACTATGCCACTATAATGCACAAGGGTCAAGAATATCTAAACACAACTAGAAAAAGACAAAAGAATCACAGACAAAGTAACCTGAGGTAAATAAGGTAGTATTTATATAAAATAATACAAACATAACTGAAATAACACTTGTATTGCTACATCAAACTTAGAGATTAAGCAATACAAAATTTTGTTCTGTGATCCTTCTTTAGGTTTTTTTTTTTCCCCCTTGTTTATTTTTACTAACCTGGTCACAGACATTGAATGTGGGCTAATAAAAAATAAAACAGAAAATATGATATGGAGAGAAAAACAATGTAAAAATTCAATAAAATAAACATTAAAAATTTTCAAACAAATTTAGTAGTGATGTAGCTAGTTAACACAAAGTTACAGGTATAATATTACCTTCATAGGAATGTTAGTTATTGTGGTTGAAGCCAGATCAAAGTGCTGTTGTACTAAAACATTCAGTTTTGTAGCCAGATGCCGTCCAGCACGGACACTGTGCACTTCACTGGTTAAAACAGGTGAAAGCTAAAATAAATTGACACAGAGTATATAGCATTAAAAGATTAGGCTCTAGTGTCATGTAACAGGATTATTCATTTGAAACTCTAAAATAAGCATATTTATGCTGCTAAATACGGCTAGGGAGAAAAACTACCCCCCAAAAAACCCACACACACCACGGGAAACCGAGAAGCAAGAATTATTTCTCATACAGAATTTTGTAGGTTATGCCAGTTGTTACAGCTGCAGTTGCTACAAACTGTCAAAAAGATTAGAAGTGTGCTAAAACACTTGAGTGATTAATCGTCAATAGGAAGAATTAGTATCACAACATCAGAAGAAATCCTCTTAATAGCAGCTCTGGGCCTAGTTTTTCACTCTTTTACCAGCTGAATAACAGGAACAAAGTAATTTTTATATACCTACCCATAAGTGCATCGTATATACATAAGAGAAACAAACACAAGATGCATCTGATTTTTACCCTAGCCAACAGGGACAGTGGGTTTAGGATTTTGAAAAAAAAAAACAAAACAACAAAAAACCCCACAAAAAACCACCCAGTGATAAAGATTACCATTTTACAGAGGAAAGCAGTAGTCAATTTATTCTCTTCTGTTCATGTTTTATTTGTTTTAGCACAACTACGAGAGAGTTTTGCAGAACAGAATCTCAGGAAGGGTAGCTATTATAGTCCTTTCTGCACAATATGCAGTAGTAGATGCCTTTCATATTAAGAATAAGACTTTCTTGTGTTTTTTCTTACATAGAGCACATTAAAATACTGAGCAGACTGATGAAGAGCAGAATATATTACAAAATATTTTGTATGTACTTGGTTTCAACCAACCACACGTGCTTGTTACTGAACAACTGAGTTATTAATATACAGAATAATTTCTTATATGCACCCTTGCACATTTTCATTAAAGAATCTTTAAAAATACCTGTAGGGTACTTCAAGTATTTGATGAACTTATATTCTACATTCCTACAATATAATACCCTTTCACTTGGAAGCAGATACAATTTCCAATGCTTTTCATGAAAAAAAGCATACTGTTTGCTAACATTGGAACAACAGAATTTATACACAAAAAGCTTATTTTGGTTTCATGTAATATGTTAGTATTTGATGAACTTATATTCTACATTCCTACAATATAATACCCTTTCACTTGGAAGCAGATACAATTTCCAATGCTTTTCATGAAAAAAAGCATACTGTTTGCTAACATTGGAACAACAGAATTTATACACAAAAAGCTTATTTTGGTTTCATGTAAAAAGCATTTAAGGCTAAAAATACTAACATATTAACCTCGATAATATAGAAGATGTAGTGCTGAACAATATCCACATCATTCAGTAACAGATATTTGGGAAAACAGAGCTTGTGCTCACTAGTGGCTTATGTTTGAATAGCAGGAAAGTTACTCAACTAACCTATTCAACACACCAAGCAGCTCATGGTTTTCTACTATGCTCCTAAAGGTGCATTTCCTTCTCAAAAAACTCATCAAACCCAAGACTATTATTCTAAGGTAATATTCTACATTCCTACAATATAATACCCTTTTCACCCAAGAGTATTATTCTAAGGTACTAATGGGTTTACTTCACAAAAAAAAAAAAAAAAAAAAAATAATTAATGCAAGAAATTTAAGTAATTAAACAAAAAAAAAAAGGGGGGGGGTGCCATATGTGCATGAAGACTACAAAACAAGAAAACAAAGCCTACAACTTGAGGTGGCAATATGCAGGCTGTCAAACTTTTCAAAGAATTATCACCTGTACTTTTTCTTATGCCTTACCAGAGACCAAAGGCTCCAAACATTCTTGCTGAATACTTCATTTGCACTATCTATTTTGAATCTGACATGGTTCTTCATCCTTGGATAAATTTTCTCGTTTTAAGCTCCTTACCTCTTTTTTAGGACGATCAGAAACAAGGCTGTCTTCACCAACTGGGTATGTGTGGATTAAGACCAATTCACATTTCTGAATCTGCATTAGACTTAAAAATAAAAATATTCTATTTAGCCTACAGTTTGTTTATTAGAAATTAGAACAATTCTCCCATTATTAACCTGACTTCCAGAACACAGAATCATAAAGATGCATTACAATATACTGTTTCTGAAAGTATTCTGTAAAAACTAGGTTAGAGTAATGATTTTTGAAAAACACATATTTCAAAACAAGTTTTTAATGAGAATAAAAAAAAAAAGTATAACATTTCTAGCTCTTCAGATGCTACAGCACTGTGTTCCTCTTTCAGCATATCAATGGAATAGATCCTTAACTGGTATAATCTGTTCAGCTTCATTCGACTGAAAATTGACACTACCAAGGATTTGTGTGTCCAAGTGTGTGCACAGGTATTAATGAGGGAATTCCAGGGAACATGAAAACAACTACACAAATAGCATGTTCATCTCCTAATGCATCTGGAAATTTGGGAAGATCGAGACATTGTCCACATCTCTTCCTAGTGGAATGAGATCTCTTTTCTGCCTTCACACTGGACTTAGAACCTGATTCCCTGGAGCAGTATCCTTTATACATGAAACCACAATTGCAGCAGATAAATATAGGAGACTCCTGCTTCTGCTATTTAAGTGTCTAACGAGAAACCAAGAATAGGATCTCAACCTACTATAGGCTTTACAAGGCAACACACAGTCCCTGGGCCCAACAGTTCACTGTTTAATTAGACAAAACATTTGGTGAGAAAATGACTTCTCAGAGAAGATGCAACCTGTATTTCAAGAGATTCCTTCATCTCAAGGGAAGTGTCAGGCAACACAATAATTTAGAAATTAAAAATTAGTTTCAAAGAAGTTAACTATTTTAGTCAAAGGAAGATGAATGTAAAATTAATGCAGTGCTATCAAGAAAAAAAATGCATCACATTCAATAGTGATTACAAATATACACTACACAACAAGGCATATTTTTGGAGCAAGATGTAGAAAGCAACAACCTAAAGAAACCCTGTCCTATGAGGGTAATGAATGATACTGAAAAGCTAATGATTATACACCAGCTCTAATTCAACAATATCATGATTCAGCACCTTCTATTTCACACAGGCATTCATTCAAACAGCTCAGTAGAGGAAGTTTTAAGTGACAAAAACACATTGATATTTCACAGAGGATATAACAGGCATGCACAGAATAAGAGAAACTACATTTGTAAAAAGTATACTCACTGATCTGAATTAGCTGCAAGCTTGTTATGTTCATGAATGGTTTCCTGAACACAATCCTCAAGCATCCGAACATGACTGTCACTAGAAAGAAAATTTGTATTTTTTTTTTAAGCAGGATAATCAATCTTCCTGTTCAAAGCAACACGCCACTAAATGCTCTCCTATTTCAAGTGGGAAATTTTTGGTTTGTCACTGTAACAGACCTCCATAAGTGACATGATCTAACACAGAACACAAAAAAAGCTAACTACTGAGGGCACTAATTCACGACAACCAATGAAAAACTTCTAAAATATATAAAATAACTTCTTTTTCTTAAATGGTAGAAGCACACTATCGTACATACCTTTTTGCATTAGTAATACAGATTATTCTCCCCCTGTTTCCAACACGTTCTGCATTCTCCATGAGCATGGTTCGAGCCTCATGCTGGTATTCTGTTATTTTGCAGAGTGCTTCAACTGCTGCAACCAGCCCATGAAGTATGCTGCAGCACTCCGGATCTGCCCGAGGATTAGGTGGCCCAACAGCTGCCAACGCTGCCATCAACTAGTTAAAAAGAAAGAATGAAAGAAATTAGTATTGAAAGTGACTTTCCAGACATTTGTTAAAATGACCAGTTAAGAGAAAAGTCACCACTATAACTTATTCTACACGCCAATTAATATTCTTGGCAGAAAACCAAACAGAGCAACTAATTGTTACTAGGCCTTGAGAACATCATTTTCTCATTTATTACAGACAGAATACCTGGCTATAATAACAAGTTATATCCACATTATCAGTTGCCATCTACTTTTGTTTTCTGAGAATTTGGGAATTCGATTTCTCCCCAAAGTAATTATTTCAGAAGACAAGCCCATTCAGTGTGAAAAAAAGAGCAAAGAGAATATTTACAACTTTTTTTATATGGTTTATTTAGCTAATGCGTAAATGTAAAGAAAAAACAATTCGATTTCTCCCCAAAGTAATTATTTCAGAAGACAAGCCCATTCAGTGTGAAAAAAAGAGCAAAGAGAATATTTACAATTTTTTTTATATGGTTTATTTAGCTAATGTGTAAATGTAAAGAAAAAAAAAAAAACAACAAAATTTAAAATTCAAGTATCACCAAATTACAGAAGAAATAAATAAGAAATGTCTTCATAACATTTATTTTAATATATAACTCTATACTCAAAGCTACCAAGTCAGATTATGTAAAGCTGCCTATAGAACACTCCAGCCTCACAGGCTACTTAAAATTTCATTATGCAATAATTTCAGACCAGATCCACATTTTAACTAACCAAAGTTATTTCATATGGAACATAGTAAGAAGCTGCTATTTATTCCTCAATTAAACTAGTTAAAGAACAAAAGAACAGTTCCAAAACATACCTCCTGCAAGTTCTGATCTTCTTGAGTCCAAGAATTCAAGACATGAGCCCCAGAATCACTCACAATGAAATTCACCTAAAAGAATCAAAAAAGCACACGTAAGATAACAGCCAGTCATATAGACAACAGCCATTATGGCTACTTCCCCAAATCCAAACATGAATTACAGCTCTTTCTTCTGATACTCTGGAGATACATGCAATGACAAGCCAAACTAAAAATAAGACACACGCCAAAAAAAAAGAGCATCCACTCCTGCTATATTCAGTTACCCCTTTAGTAACGTTATGATTAACAACTTCTTACTCTATTTATATTTTTAAGCCACTAAATCAATCCCTACGCAAAAATAGCATTGCAGGATATTACAAAGTATTTCAATAATTAGGTAGTATTTTCAGTAGAATAGCTACAAACTCAAGTAAATTCTAATACTGCAATTTTGCAAATCATTCTCCAAAGATTGTCAAAGTCGATCACAGGGTTAAATATCTAGCAAGATTTAATAAATACCACAAAGCAAAATATGTTCTAAAGATGACCAAAAAAAAAAAAAAAAAAAAATGGTTGATTGGGACCTTCTTCACTAGGTCCTGAAATAACTTTTAGAGCATGACACTGCTTATATGGCAGCACGGCCAACAAGCATGCCTAAGATCTAACACATAGCAAAAGACATATTTAATTTACTGTCCTGTCCTGTCCATCACTATAGGGATGTTTCTCAAGTAAACAAAACCAGGATATCCCATGAAAATGGGGTGGTTTAAAAAAAAAAAAAAAAAAAAATCAAGAGGAAGTATACCTTCCATCTCAATTTCTGTTTCTCATACCACACGAGCTCCAGTTCAGCCAATTCAAATCCACTAAGCACACACTTGATATAATCCCATAATGGGACTGGACTGTATATTAAATGCTCTAAACTAGAGATTAATTTAAACATTCACTGCCTGAGAAGCAGGACGTGCAATCCATCAAGACAGTGCTGCATCAAACCACTGAACTACTGGAGGTATTTGTTAGTGCTCAGCCTCTGCTGCTCTCTGACACAGCTGCTATTCCACCACCACTACTATATACCCATATCACTGCCACAAAGTTGTTTCACTTCCTTTTTTATTTTTAAGGATAACTAACCTTTAGAACATTGCACTATGGTTTACGCAACAAGGAGAAAAGATCCAAAAAAACAGGGGTTACCTTAATTTATCATACAACATTACAGAACCTACCAAGCATTTATTTTTCCACACAAGGAGCCACCAAGCTCTCCCACTTTTTCAAACCAGTAGCTTCAGGGTGACCCTAAATCTTCCTTCAAAGTTGACACCAAAAACCTTACAAAGTGCTACCAAGAGTGTTTAGAAACAAAACTTGATTTGAAGCAATACCTCACTCAAGATTTTATAAACTTATACATTAGGAGAACACAATAATAAATCAGTAAGTTACCTTCAAGCACCTGTCCTCACGTTTTGCACTGAGTCACAGTGACATGAATACAAGGAAAGGTCTGACCGATCTAAACAGCTATCAAATGTATCAACAGCACAAAGACATTTTTATCTAATACATTATCTTGTGATTTAACCACCAGCTAATGAGACTTCATTAAAATGGGAAAATATTCCTTACACTATCAAGAATCATATGCAGTATGGCCAGGAGAACTTACCAGTTTCTTGAAAGGGAAAATATCATACATTATTCTACAGTACTCCATGGATGATTCCACTGAACACGTCCACAGTGATTTTGATATGGGTGCTAGAGGTATAATTCCTTGGGTTCGATTCTTTACTAACATATCAAATTCAACATGTTGTCTGCAGGATTCTGCCATATAAGGGCAGTGATCCACAACGAAAACAGTTTTATGAGACTCAGAAAAGATTTTCATTTTCTTCCTAAAAGAAACAGATAGTAAAATCAGAAAGGAAAAAAAAAAAAAAGTCACAAGATTACTGTGCAATTTATATAGCATAAAACTATCTAACTACAATACACGAGTTTTAAAGAAGTTACCTCTTACAGCATTTAGATTACATATTGAATACATTAGCTCCTACAAAACTGTCACCTTTCTAAAAAACTACCAGAATTTCCATTTTAAGAATCTATTTTACACAGAGACAAATATCCTCTAGAGTACTTACTAGTCCATGTATTTAGTATACTAGATATCCAATTAGAAGAAACGATGTTTTCTCAGGATGAAAAGAATATAGGAAATGTGAAAGTATAGTGTTGAAAAGGCAACAATGTTGCACAGTATTACCCTGTCCATTTTCCTTAACAAAAGAAACTTTTAAGAAAAAAAAGTACAGAAACTGGTTCTTATTTGAAGCTTATTTCCTAAAATAAGCAATATGGGAAAAAATAATTTAAGATTAGGCTATAGAAACCTTGAAGTAGCACAAATATCAGACTTTTAAGTAGATTTTCAGCCTTCACTTTGCTAGGTACATCTTTCTATTTTTAAATCAGTATTTGCATCTGTACTTTGATCTCTCACTGACAGACACACCACCTCTGAAATTATAATGTCAATGTTTCTTATCCAGCAACACTCATAGGAGAGCACCTTGCAATCTCCCCAACTATGAAGCTGGAGGACTCTGCAATGAAGCATGATGTGTTTTTCTCTTTGACATGGACAGACTGGCTTTTCCTCTCCTACTACATGACTGAAAGAAATACTTTTGAAGCAGCTATAACGTGAAATCCTTGTGTTAGGGGGGACATCAAAACTTGCAGACCCAGACTACATAGGAAAATGAGCCTTAGACTAGTGCTGCTGAGACCACTAATCTCAGACCAAACGCTCCTCCTCAAACTTATTCGACTTCTAGAAACCCATGGGAGCGTTATGGAAACCCATAACGTTTCTAGTCGAAAAGTCGACTTCATTCACACAAACGCGGCTGAACTGCAGAACACACAAAGCCAAAAAAATACATGACGAGCTTATTTAAAAAAAAAAAAAAAAAAAAAAGGAAAAAAACCGAAAATATTAAACTAAGGAGGACTGACAGGAGTCAGCCCGCGGGCAGCACCCCGCTCTGGGGGACGGGTCCCGCAGGCCTTGCCGGGGTGCACACACACGCTACACCCCCTTCGGCCGGGGCCAAGGCCGGGCCAGGGCCAGCCCAGCGCCGGGGGCCCGGCCCAGGACCCTGCATCCCATCTCTAGCCTGGCGGAGACTGGAGAGAGGGGGCCGGGGAGGGCCGCAGGGACGACCGGCAGGGCCCGGAGGAGGCGAGGTCAGTCCCCGCCCGCCCGGAGGCCGGGGTCAGGGGGAGGGAAGCGCCTCTTACCTGGGCCGGCTCCTCCTCTGGTGCAGAAGTCCCGGTCCCGCTCCTCGCCGCGCGCGGGCCCGGCCGCGGGCTCGCTCGGCGGAGGAGGGATGAGGCCCACGGGCCGCTCTAGACGGGGTCTGGCGCGGGCGCCTCCGGCCGGGTGACCTCCATAGCCCTCCGCCCGCTTCCTCCTCCGCCGCCGGCTCCGCGGGGAGCGCGGGGCCCAGCTCCTGCCTCCGCGCCCGGCGCCCGCGGGGGTGGGAGAAGCGGCCGAAGCCCCCCCCGCTCCGCCCACCCCTGAGGCCGCGGGACCCCCGCGCGGCCACTTACGCCGCTGGCAGAGTGGCTCCCCCAGCGCTGGCGGGGGG